GGCTCAGAGAGGCTCCTGTCAGCTGGACCTCTCTGGGAGCTGCTCTACCTACTTCCTAGACCACAAGCAGGCATAAAGGGGAAAGAGGTGCCAAGATCATAGAATCATGGAATCATTAAGGTTGGAAGAGACCTCCAAGATCGAGTCCAACCATCAACCCAACACCACCATGCCCACTAAACCATGTCCCTAAGCGCCTCATCTACACATCTTTTAAATACTTCCAGGGATGGGGACTCCACCACTTCCCTGGGCAGCCTGCGCCAATGTTTAACCACTCTTTCAGTAAAGAAATTTTTCCTCACATCCAATCTAAACCTCCCCTGGCGCAACTTGAGGCCATTTCCTCTCGTCCTATCGCTAGTAACTTGGGAGAAGAGACCGACACCCACCTCGCTACAACCTCCTTTCAGGTAGTTGTAGAGCATGATAAGGTCTCCCCTTGATGCCCGGTTTGGGGCAATTCTGGACATTTCTATCCAGAAACAGACTATCAGAGTTCAGGTGGCTGCTCAGTAGAGTTTTTCGGATCTGAATTTTTAGTTTACCCATGCTCTTTTCCGGGGTCTAGCCCTTAGTCTTTCAGGCTACATTTATACGGGTAAATGGAGTATAGTCCAAGAGTTGGAAAAGTACAGCAGGACTTTAAGTGGCCTGTAGTTCTGGTATGTCACAACCCAGCTCTTCTCAAAGCAACCCATGCTTCAGTGTAAAACTATTCCATAGTCTTTCTGACAGAAAGATATGGTCCCCTAAGAAGAAGTTGGTGGCTAACTTACCCATCCTTGCTGCATTTGTGACCTCTAAGGAGGCAGGGTGGCAGAGTTTGATGCAAATGTACACAGGCAACCCACAGTAGGCCAGAACACATGGTAGATGTACAAACACGTGCTCAGAAGAAAACCAAGGCCACATTTTCTCCTGCATCTTACACTGTAGCTTGCTCAATCATTGAGGCCAGTCTGTTGGGAGGATACATGAGCCTGGGCTTGACGCTAAGCTTGGGCCTTGGTTCAAAGACAGTAGAGGAGTAGCCTCTGGCGTTCCAGTGTCTCTCTGCAAAACAGGAGTCACAGAGCTTTGCTTCCTCAGAGGGCTGCTGTGAAGAAAAACGCATTAAATACTGTGGAGTGCCCAGATATTGCGGCAACATGCCAAAACCCAGATCTAAAAGGGGAGGGTGAACTTTTGGAAGAGAGCAATCCTATCCTAGGTATTTACTAGTTGGAATGAAATAAGCCTCACAAAACCAGGTGTAAATAAAAGCAGTTGAAGGAATCTAATTTAAAAAGCAGTTCCTTCTAAGTTGCGGAAGTTTTGCTGTGTTATTACTAGTTCTCCAGAAATCAACTAAGTGAGCTCTGCAGTAAAGTGCTCTTTTGTGACATACAGAAACTGGAAAGCACTTTTAAAAGTAAATATAATATAATTTAGATCTTATATCTTAGAAAGGACATGAATACATCTACTTTATATTGTATTTTCAAAAAATATTTCTGCATTTGGATATCATTTGCATATGGCTACAGAAGTTCTTATCTAGTTAGAAAAAGAGGGAAGTTGATAAATCATCAAGGAAGGAAATACTGAGGTTTAAAACAGCCACAAATTTGTTTTTCTTCAGCTTATCATTTTAAAAACTCAAATGCTGTAATTCTGGATGAGTTGCCAGATTGTTTCCTTCATAATTCTGCCTTTCTCTTACCCATTCTTTAGGGATCAAAAACAAGCATATTAACTTCAGTCAGCGAACGCGCAAATCAGACAAACGCATTCCCCTAACTTCAGGCTCTGATTAATTCCGCTGGTAGCCTTTGACCTTGATTTCCACAATGTCTTGCAGTACATACAGAAGCTTGACCTGGTATCGGAAAACCGCAGAGATTTGGTTTGGAAAAAATAAAGCCACCTTCATCTCCATTACCGAAGTGCTACATTAAAATCTATAAAACAAAGGGCTGAAAATCTGAAGTTTAGCCTTGGAGCCAGTTTCACAATCTGTTTCCTGTAGCCAGAGTTCATTTGCAGCCAGTGGAAAAAACAACTTGTAAAAGATAAAAGGCAGTGCTGTGACTTTCAATCAATCTTAGCATTTGGTGTGGGAATATAGCCGTACTAAAGTCTAACACCAACGCTTCAGTTCTGATTCTGGTTCACTTTATCGATCTCGGATGTATGTAGCCATTGTCAGAGACACCCAGCAAGCACAAACTTATCATGGGAAAAATGAGATCTATCCAACTTCTGAAGATCAAAATTTAGATAGAAATAAAGCAAGCATACGTGACATGCCTATTCACAGGAAAACTGGGAGACCGTAACGAGTGATGACAGAACGGGACGGGAAGCTGAAGTGGTAGCTAATGCAAAAAAAAAAAAAAAAAAAAGAAAACATAAAAGGCACTGGCAGAATTATTTTCTTTGAACCCATCAGTTATGATGGGTGGAGGCCTTGAGTGCTTAGAGAAGTCAAGACTCACATTTATTACAGGTAGTGATGATTTCAGTAGATATATTGTTCACAAGGGTGCCAAAGGCCTAGAGGAAGCAGCTGCACGAAGCAGTCCAGGCCTGTCCTCGCTCCGAACAATGGTTCACAGGCTCCTTGTAGAAAGGATTTTATGGGACAAAGAGATTGGTCTTCCTTGAAAGGTACAGGTAATGATAGAAAGACACTTATTTTGCAAGCTTTAGAGAAACCATGCCAGAAAACAAAAGGAATGTCAGATGAAGAAACCAGATTGTTTACAAATGAAAGAGCTGTTGATGGCTGGTGTTGGTGAGCCAGCCCAAGCTCTGGTCCTGGACTCAGAAGTGGTTTCTGTGTCTTTCTGTGGTATGCGAGTAGCTTGTTCTGCATTTAACTTCAGTTTTGAGGTTTGAATTTTGGAGTGGGAAATCTGTACATGAGAAATGTAAAATAGTTATACATTGGACCCTATAGGCCCCATGTCCTGTTTCTAATTTACTTGCAATTCAAAATTGTAGTTTTATGATTACTTTAATGTGACAGCTGCAAATGGGTGATTCTGCCTTTGTCTATGTTTCCCTCTTCTCTTCTCTGCCAAGAGGTGAATTGGGTCAAGGAAGTGACTTGGCTGAAATTAACTTTATTAAAAAAATGCCTTTTTTTTTCCCTGCAAAAAGGAAGGAAGGAGACTGTATGGCCAGGGAAACAGCAATACCAGCCCATTTGCTGGCAGCCTGCACTTAATCACAGAATGGTTGAGGTTGGCAGGGACCTCTGGAGATCATCTGGTCCAAGCCCCCTGCTCAAGCAGGGACACCTAGAGCCGGTTGCCCAGGACCACGTCCAGACGGCTTTTGAATATCCCCAAGGATGGAGACTCCACAACCTCCCTGGGCAACCCGTGCCAGGGCCTGGTCACCCTCGCAGTAAAAAAGTGTTTCCTGATGTTCAGAGAGAACCTCATGCATTTCAATTTTTGCCTGTTGCCTCTGGTCCTGTCATTGGGCACCACTGAGAAGAGCCTGGCTCCGTCCTCTCTGCACCCTCCCTCCAGGTATTTATATACATTGATAAGATCCCCCCGAGCCTTCTCTTCTCCAGGCTCATCAGCCCCAGTATAATTTAGATTAAAACAACCTTGCATTAACTTGGATTAAAAGACTGAGGGACTGTTGCCCAATTTGAATATTCCAGGGATTCACCCCCCCCTTTCATTTTCAAGTGTAGAAGCGTTTCGCTTGCACGGACTGGTTTTCTTCCTTTCTGCTGATGTGTTTACTTAGGCTACATCAAAGGCTTTTCCGTAGAAGCGTATACCTGACAAGCCTTTGCGGCTGCTTGAAACACGCGCGCGTTTAAATTTTTGCCAATGCAAATTCCTGAAGCGAATCCGCTACCCGAACTGCCCTCTTCCTGGCGGTTGCCGGCCATCTGCCTTTGATAACCTGCTGCGGTGCAACACAAAAAAACAACATTAAGGGAAGAACCCTGCGCAGAAAGGGCAGCGACC